TCAGTCCTGGTATTTAATACTGTGTTTGAAGTCTCATCCTTTTTCTTAAATTAGAAATTAAGTTAATATTTTTAAATGAAGTTTGGGCTAAATATTTTTATACTATTGTGTGATTTTTGGACTGAGTATGGAATCGGGCTGCACGCCGCAGCAGTATTAAAATGATGTTGATATGAGGCCAAGGGCCTGTTTGATGCCACGAGATGCCTTACTATTGCGCTTGGGCCGTAAGGGGCCCCTCCCGGAGTCTGCACACCCCCAGTGAGCGCCGTCGACGTTAAATAAATGGAGCGGGCTGCACGGCCGCAGCGGGGTACTGGAGGTACCGGTTTATGTGTTGCATTGCATATTTAATTGTTATTTATTTTCATTCTGGTGTGACTTTATTATAACTGTTTTTTAATGTTTACTGTATTATGCTATTGGTCCACGTTGTTGTATTTATAGTTTTAATTTGTGTTTATTTAGGATTTCTTATCCTCAGACTTTATTTATATTCATTACTTTCTGGGTTGGAAGTACTCACAATACTCCTTGCACCTTGTGTGCAGATTCAGGTACACCACAGGGTGAGTGAGGACTTGTTTAGCGGAGCAGTAAATATCCGGGAGTATCGAGGTAGCTGCATGGCGTTCGCAGCCTTGATCTCTCCCCTCCATCTTTTATTATTTTATTCGTATATTTTTCTTAGTCGGACTTGTAATAGGTGAATAATCTGTTTCTAGAGGCTCATGTTCGTGACACCAGATTCTGTGGGCTATTTAACATTTTATTTTGGGGTTTTCGAATGTTAAAGATTATATCAGAACTTCCGCACTAAATTGGTATTATAGTAGTGAACATTTATTTATTTATTTAGATTATTTGGCTAAGGTTGTGTAAATGGTCGGTCTTGCCTAGCAATGTGTTAGGCAACGTCACGACCGGGGTTTGGGTCATGACAAGTTTAGCTTCTTTTGTTTTGACTCAGTGTAATAAGAAGTTCAAAAAGCAGTAGCAGCAGCAGCAACAGTGAAATTACAACTTCTCGGTAGTCCCAACTACCAAAACTTTCCAAACTACACTGACCTGATTCCTTTATAGCTAAGGATATGTAGGCAACCTCGGAAGCAAGGTTCGGTGAGATCTTTCAAAAAAGCTTCCCACGGAGTATTCAAACGGGCAAAAATCGCTAGTATCCGCTCACTTTATCTTTGCCCAAAAACTCATCGTGTTTCCGAGCAAAGAGGGGCAGCTGTGAGCACGTGATTTTTTTCCTATGTAAAATACTCCTACAAATTAAAGAAATAGAGTTTTTCCAATTGTTTGCAATTTTATAGAATTTTTGTAGGAATTTTTGTTAAATTGTTGCATTTCTGTGCATGTTTACTTTTATTAAAACAATAAAAAATACCAAAAATACCATGCATTGCATTTAGATTTGGTGTTCACATTTTTGGGATTAATTAATTAATTAGTTGTTTTATTAAAAATAAAAATCACAAAAATGGTTCATTAAGGCATTTTTTAGCTTTAATTTTGGATTAGTAGTTTTTCTCTTTTAATTTAGGATCAATTAATTTTTATCAATCTTATGATTAGATAACTAGACTGATTTACAACTTAGATTAAATTAGGATTCAATTTAGGGTTTTTATTAATTAGGAAAAAAGAAAAGAAAACAAAGAAAAAACAAAACAAAAAGGTTTTTCGAATTGGGCCACCCAAGAGACCCAACCTGGTGGCCCAAAACCCCTTCTTCAACCCAAATAAAACTATGTGCGGGGAAATCGGGAAACCAATTTTCCCTTGACATAATGCTTCGAAGAACAAATCTCGAAGGGACGGGATCTTGGTTCGGTCGCCTCCCTCGAGATCTAACCGATGCCTTTCCCAGATCGGCCATCGGCTAAGACCCTAATTGGCGAAGATATCCCCCGAGGGATGCATCCGGGGTCCACGAGACTTGTCCAAACGGCTCGACGTCAGTTCTTCTACAACCCAAGAAAAGCAGGCTGTCACATCTCATTCTTTTATTGTATTGTTTATACCATATTAAGTTTGGACGCCCCCTTTTTCTATAAAAGAAGGGTCACCAACACCTTGTAGCTCATCTCCAATTGTCTTACAAAGAAGCAATAATATTCTCTCTCTCCCTTTCTCTAAATTTTTCTCTGGTTCTAAGTCATATTTATTGATAGCTATTCTCTTGGTTTGTCAAATAAATATATCTCGAGATCATCCTTAGCATTTTATTATTTCTTCGTTTGTTCTTCATCATTTAGCTCAAAATTGATAATATAAAGCCTTACTTACTTGTAACTTTATCTGTTACCCCCTCCCGACTACCCTCGACAAGCCCGAGATAGGCTCGAGGCCTGGCCCCGAGGTATCTACTAGCTTGCTAACGCGATCTTTATTGTCTTACATCATGTTTTATCACTAATCACCCTTACAAACTAGCTCGGGAATAGATCACGTATTTTTAGAATCCCATTTACAAATTTAATTGTTGTTACCATTTTCATGGTAAACAGTTTGGCGCCCACCGTGGGGCTAAAAATAATAGTGATTATTTTCTTGCTAGTTTCGTC